AACCGATACCCTAAGTCGACATCCAAATAAGGAAAAGGAAATAAAGCGAGTTAGCAGTCCTAAGTCCTTTAAACATTATTTATATAACTATACATATATATACATGCTTTTGACAATATATAAGTTTAAAAGAGATTTTGTAATACATTTAAAGAGTTCTGAAGAATAAATAATAATGACTTGATGTTAGTTTATAAAATGATTTAAAAGTAGTTTGTTTGATAACACAGTTTAAAGTCAGTGAAATCCTTTGTTTGAAACATAGTTTGAAGTATATGAACTCCTTTGTTTGAAACATAGTTATAAATCACATGTGATTGATTATATAACTAACATGTTTTCTACTTGTATTCCCCCCCCCCCCCCCCTATAAAAGCACTTAAAATCATTTAAAAGATAAGTTAAGGGGTATGAACTCACCTGCAGTGAGTAACTCGAATGTAAGATCGATATAGGAAGTTGAGTGTCAAGTGGAGACTCGAGCACAAACGTATCCTATTAATCATATAATGACACATATATGTATATAATTAGTGTATATAACAACTTATTTATGATACGGAACCACCTTAGGGACTAGGAAACACTCATATTGAAGTGTTACAATCATATATGATTGCATATAAGGGGTATATGGCCACATAATGGAGTGTAAGGCCAAAATGCACAAGTTTTGTGGGTGTGTGACCAAGGTGTACGACCGTACACTCACTATGAAATGTCCCAAAGTGTGTTTTGAAGTCCTATTTCACAACTAGGAAGGGTGTTCTGACCATTGCTTAGCCTTAATGGGAGTTGGATACCATTTTAAGCCTAAAAAAGGGTGTGTACGGCCAGACAAGGTGTGTGCGGCCGTACACCCTTGAAGATCTTGCAAATCTGGTGATTTTTATGATGATCATCTAGTGTTTCCAGTATATAATAAGTTATTGAAAGGGTGCTTACATGTTAGAAGCTTGAAAGGGTTATTTAGGGCCAAAAACTTAGTGTGTGTTCTTGGTGTTCTTGAAGATCTAATCCAAAAAGAGGTATGTTTCACGGATGAAAACATGGATATTTACTAGTTATAGCATTGTATCAACTAATAATGGAAGAAACACTTACTTATTTGAAGATCCTTGTAAAGAACACGATGATACTTAAGAGAGAATCGATTTTCTAGCCTTAGAAGTGTGAGATATGATGAATAATGAATGAATATATCACATATACACATGAGTGTATGGCCATAAGGGGGTGTACGATCGTACACTCCTTAACAAGGGGTGTTTAGCTCAATTGAAAGGTGTTGAACTCATATACACTCATTCTTAGACTCATACCTTGATTGTACTAGGCTTGGAACACTCAAATAGACTCTAAACAATGCTAGAAGATATCAAAACGAGTATGAACTTGACTGATTTGAATGGTTTGTACACGAAATAAATTTCGGGTTGTCACAGTTTTCTTTTTGCAAATGACGATGAGCCCTCAAAACAATTACCCATCGAAGGAAAATGACAAAAAGTTTGATATAATTTCAAAAATGCCACTGCTATTTTTATCAAAAATACAATTAAATAAAAAAATATAGCCATTCAAAATTTTAGATGGAGGGTCACGATTAGTCCTCACAGTCCTCACGGAAAAAAGAGTGTTCATCTGATCCAATATTATTTTCTCTCTCTCTCTCTCTCTCTCTCTATATATATATATATATATATATATATATATATATAGGCTTATGTTATTTTGTTTCTACTAACTATTGTGTGTCAAAATGCACAAATATGGACCATTGGATGGAATAAAATCAAATGTCATGATTTGAGGGTCTATGATATTACAATAGAGTAACATGTACCATATAATCACACAAATTTCAGCATAAGTGCATTTTAGTCAATTGACACAAATTTAAAAAAGGAAATATCGAGATTTACGGGATAATTAATGATTTTGATATAAAAAATCTGATTTTTTTTTTCAAATTGACTCAATTTCAAACGTTTTTTGTAAATATAAACTGATTTTATTCTATCAGAATGTTATTTTGTTAGAATGATATTCTGTAATTCTGTCATAATAGTATACAACTATAAACGTAATTTTATAAACACATATTATCAAGACCAATAATTTTTAATGAATACAAAATTTATATAAGATGAAGTTTAATAGTTTAGAATAAGTAATTACATTCTTTATTAAAGAATTCAACTATGAACATAAACTACATTCATTCTTGAAATCTCTTGCAAAAAAAATATTGGCATTCTTGAAAAAATCCTCATTCACTTTATTGTTTCATTTCTAGATGTCTTGTGTATGTTTGAACTCCAATCCATTTCAAAATATGCTAGCATTGTATGAGATTGACATTCTGTCAGAATTGTATTGCATGAGAATGATTTTATACAAGGAGCCTTTCCCATAAGGTCTTCAAGTCATTCTTCAATCAATTTTTATCACAAATTCATTGCTAAATATTTTGTAGTGATACACTTGTAACAATTTCACATTAAACATATAACTAATTAACGACAATTCTATCAAAATACAACAATAGTATTCTTACATAATAAACTATTCTTGCAAAATGATTTTTAATATTCTTAAAAAATTTGTATTATCAAGAATATACCCAACGAACAAAACATTTGAATTATAAATGCAGGAAAAGATTATGTTAACACAAATATGTACTTTGAATGAATAACTACAAAGATGTATTTTATATCACATGTGCATATACATATACGATTGACATAAAAACACAGTCTCACCTTCTGGTATAACCTGCTTTTGAGACAATCTCCCAGGCCTGATAAAATTAATGAAAAGCAGCCAAATCAAAAAGCGCTTGTTTAGATGACAAAAATTTCAGATTTTATGTAGCGAATGTTTTGAAAGGGGAACTTTTTCCATAGTAGTGATGTTCAAGAGCAACAACAACAGCTCCAAATTTCTTAGCCAAAACTTGTATGAAGTTCAAAAGCTTCATCATCATTAGTATTTCAATTCTTCAATTACAATTAAAACTCCATAAAAGCAACAAGAAAAGATCCAATGTACACTTATATAGTCATTTGTTATTCCACGACATTTAGATTCACCACATACTACTAAGAAGATTGGTCCATCAGGAATCCTGAATTCGTCTAAGTATTCATAATACCGCTGTTGAAATTTACGATCATCCTGTATATACCAAAAGCTCAAAATTCATAATCTTGTTGCTGAATTCGCTCTAATTAAACGACAAAGCAATTAAGTTTAACTACGGATACTCGGAATGCATTCAATCGATATATTATAATCATAAATTGAAAATTACACCCAAACTCAACTTGTAAAAGAAATCATCGAAACCCAAAATCATAGATAAAAATCTAACACATGCATAGAGATATATCAAGAGAGAGGATTCATACATAGGGGGAAAAGTGATTGAGAGTTTGATTCAACCACAAAGCTTCCTTTATAAGATAAGTGCTGCTGTTGCTAGTAATACGATTGATTCGAGAAGTTAACAACCCATTACAAACATTAATCATCAACAGCGACCCAAGAAAATCCAGTAACACTCTCATTTTTTTCTCAGTTCTTCTAATTTGTAGTTCAAACATGGTTTTTCAAGTAGCCATTGATGCCCTCGCTTCATCCTCCAAACACTGAGAGACAGAAAATAATTAAATTTCTAGTCAAGGATTTGCTCGACCATTGGACCATTGATCGACCTTGCGTATGATATGAGAAGCTAGGGTTAAATAGTTGGTCAAACCGATTTTTATGGCAATTTTCATGAATTAATGGATTTTATTTTAATTATCATGCTAAAGTACATAATTATCCATATTATAATTTTTAATTATTTAATTATTTCTAAATTCCTACTGGTGTATTCATGCACACAATAGTTGCTACTTGCTACTTGCTAGAAACATTTGAATCTCTCTCTTTCTCTCTCTCTCTCTCTCTCTATATATATATATATATATATATATATATATATATATATATATATATATATATAATAGAACCCTATATAATAATGTTGCCCTCACAATTTTCCTTATCTGTAATGAAATTGGGAAAAACATTCGTGTAAATCATTGTCTAGCATTTCGAATGAAACATTGTTTTATTATTATTATTATTAGGGATTTTCTAATATGTGCCATAAGGGCACATACAAGAAGTATTAATTAATCACAATTATTACTATAATTAAATGTTAAACACATTAATTATAAAAAATATTACCATAATTAAGTATAAAATTCATTAATAATCTCTATAATTAATGAACTTCACATTTAATTATGATAATAATTGTGATTAATTAATACTTCTTATATGTACTCTTAAGCACATATTAGAAAATTCCCGTAATATAAAAACTCTGTGGGTAAAAACTATAAAAAAACCTTTGAAAATACGGATCCTTATCGGGGGACTTAAACTATTTTTATTTTTAAGATAGATTATTATTATTTAACTTATAAAAGATTTAGTAAATAGGGTTCCGTATATTTTTCTTTTTCCATTTTGGAAAGAGAGATAAAAGGAGATTTTTGTTGTAGTTATTTTAAGAAGAAATTTAGTTTTGTTTGTAATAAGCATCATGATCCATGGATCGATCATGATGATGACTAAATCAAAAACGCGTCGAGGCCGAGCTGTTACCACAATCTATCTGCTTTTTTCAATTTTCATTCTTTTAAAATTACCGTTTCCAATTGCAAGCTGTAAATCAAATGAAGGAACCTTTGTACTCATCTTCTTCCAATTCCAACTTTATATAGTCTAGTACTATCACCGCTTCACTCTCTCTCTCTCTCTCTCTCTCTCTCTCTCTACAAATCTAAAATTGCACAGAGATTGAGGAAAACACCTCATCTTTTCAAATTTACAAACTCAACGCAATGCTACTATGAATATTTATTCTTTGATCTTGCATCTTTGATTGTTTGCTTCCAAACCTCTAGAGCTTTTGACCATAATCGGACGAAAACATGGCACCGTCGTCGTTTGATTGGTGGAGGAAAGAAACGCACAGGGGTACTCCGGTGGTGGTGAAGATGGAAAACCCAAACAACTGGTCAATGGTGGAGCTTGAAGGTCCATCGGAGGACGATTTCCTAAACGACGGCGTCTCAGAAGGACGTGGACGTAACAAGAACGCCAAGCAGCTAACCTGGGTCCTACTTCTTAAAGCCCACCGTGCCGCTGGCTGCATCAGCTCCATTGCCCCAGCTACATTCTTTCTCGCCTCCGCCGTCCGCCGCCGTCTGTCCTCCGGCCGCACCGACACTGAAAAAACCGTTAGAACTTCCACACGTTTCTATTCTTGTATAAAGCTGTTCCTTTGGGTTTCCATTTTACTACTAGGGTTTGAGGTAGCTGCTTATTATAAAGGTTGGCATTTCAGCGCTCCGGATCTTCATTTACAGTATTTGTATACATTAACCAACCCCTTTGCCTTTAAGGGTTTCTTTGATTCAATATATTCGAGATGGGTTTTGTTTCGGGTCGAGTATCTTGCTCCACCGCTCCAGTTTTTGGCAAATGCTTGTATCTATCTGTTTTTAATACAGAGTTTGGATAGATTAGTGCTCTGTTTGGGTTGTTTTTGGATCCGTTTCAAGAAGATCAAACCAGTCCCTAAGCAGACACTACCTGATCTCGAATCCGGTGATAACGATGGGTTTTTCCCAATGGTTCTTGTTCAGATCCCCATGTGTAACGAAAGAGAGGTAAACATTTTCGGGGTTGTTAATTTATGTAGCAGTCGAATTATTTCCATCTTCGTGTAGTTGACACTTGACAATGACATTATAAACGTAGTACAGAAGAAAATTTTTCTTTCTTGTTTCTGTCTCTACCTGTACGTAAAAGTTTTTGACATTCTTTAAACCTCAAAATCGCATTTACCCAGGTGTATCAGCAATCGATTGGGGCTGTGTGTAATTTAAAGTGGCCGAAATCAAAGATTTTAATACAAGTTTTGGATGATTCTGATGACCCGACGACCCAATTGATGATCAAAGAGGAGGTTGATAAATGGAAAACGGAAGGTGCAAATATTGTTTACAGGCACAGAGTGATTAGAGATGGGTATAAAGCCGGTAATCTCAAGTCGGCTATGAATTGTAGTTATGTAAAAGATTATGAATTTGTTGCCATCTTTGATGCTGATTTTCAACCCACACCCGACTTCCTCAGGAAAACAGTTGCCCATTTCAAGGTGTTTAAAGCGAGTTTCTGTTTTTATTTTAGTGTATGTTAAAGATTATGAATATGAGTATATCATTATAATTGTAATGAAGTGATGATAGGATAATGAGGAATTGGGATTGGTACAAGCCCGGTGGTCATTTGTAAACAAGGATGAGAATCTGCTAACAAGGCTGCAACATGTTAATTTAGCTTTCCATTTTGAGGTGGAGCAGCAAGTGAATGGGATTTTCTTCAACTTCTTTGGCTTCAATGGGACTGCCGGAGTCTGGAGGATTAAGGCTTTGGAGGATTCCGGCGGGTGGTTGGAGCGGACCACAGTGGAGGACATGGACATTGCTGTTAGAGCTCATCTTCACGGATGGAAAATGATATTTCTCAATGATGTTGAGGTGCTGCTTTGCCAACTGAAAAATTATACCCTAATTCATATATATATATATATATATATATATATATATATCTATCTCTCTCTTTATATAGTATATATATAATAAAAGAAACTGTGCTGTTTTTTTTTTATTTTTATCAGTGCCAATGCGAATTGCCTGAATCGTATGAAGCTTACAGGAAGCAACAACACAGATGGCATTCCGGGCCAATGCAGCTGTTTAGACTCTGCCTGCCCGACATCATAAAATCAAAGGTATCTAAATATATTTATTTATTTATTTATTTCTTATCAGGTCATTATTTATATGGTTTTTGGTTGTCTGCAGATTAGCATCTGGAAGAAAGCAAACATGATTTTCCTGTTCTTCCTGTTAAGAAAACTGATCCTACCATTTTACTCATTTACCCTTTTCTGCGTGATTCTGCCAATGACAATGTTTGTGCCCGAGGCTACTCTCCCTGCATGGGTTGTGTGTTACATCCCGGCCACCATGTCGTTTCTCAACATCCTCCCGTCTCCAAAATCCTTTCCCTTTCTGGTCCCTTACCTTCTTTTTGAAAACACAATGTCTGTAACCAAATTCAACGCCATGATCTCAGGCCTTTTCCAGCTAGGCAGTGCCTATGAGTGGGTGGTCACCAAGAAATCCGGCCGCTCCTCAGAAGGCGATCTCCTCTCATTAAACCCTAATGCTAATGCTAATGCTAATGGTGGTGTATCAGAATCAGACTCCAAGAAGCAGCATGTCAACAGGATCTATACAAAGGAGTTGATGCTCGCTTTTCTTCTGCTCACAGCTTCTGCTCGAAGTCTTTTATCTGCTCAGGGAATCCATTTCTACTTCTTGCTCTTTCAGGGATTGTCGTTTTTGCTTGTCGGCTTTGACTTAATCGGTCACCAGATTGCAACCTAGTGGATTATTCCTTCTCTTACTTTTACAAAAATCAGACCCTTTTTTTTCTTTCTATGTAGCAACTTTTTATTTATTTATTTATGGTTAGCTGAATCTTTTGTTCTTATCTGTAGCATTGTATAATACTTGGACAATTAAAATTCTTTGTTAGTGAGTGTTTCACTTTCAGTCCACAAATGTAGCTGTATTATGGATCCGTTTTATGGTGGGTCGGGTTAAGATCACATTTAAAATGAAAAACAGGTCTATGTTTATGTGTGGATTTGATTTATGTCGAGGCCCGCCAGGAATGGAAAAAGAAAATCGGGTCACATTTCTGGACCGGGTTTTTACCGTGCAAATTTTTACCGGGCTGGGCTTTTTTTTTTTTTTTTTTCCTTTTGCTGCGTCCAATAGTTGAGGGGAATCTACGACTCAAGGCGTATTTATAAAAGACATGGGAACACCATTTTTTTTAATTTTTTATTACGTTCTTCTTACTTCAACTTTTTTTTTTTTTTTTTTTCTCCTCGTTAAATTGAACTAGAAACAATATATATATATATATATATATATATATATATATATATATATATATATATATATATATATATATATATATATATATATATATATGTTGGAGGCGTATGAGATTCAAGATAAGAACAAAAATATAAAGAACTATTGTATAAGGAAAGAGATTAAATATAAAAAGTAAGAACATGAAAGAACAAAATAGATGGACAATATTTTTTGTATTGAAAAAACAACTCAGTATTTTGTTGTCTTACAGGTGAAATGAAAACCTCATTTTATATGAAAGAACAAAATAGTTGGACAATATATTTTGTATTGAAAGAACAACTCAATATTTTGTTGTCTTACAAGTGAAATGAAAACCTCATTTATAGATGAAGGAGAGATTTCTTTCAATGACGTATTACAACTTGTCACACTAATAATACACATGATAAAAGTAATGTCATCATGCTAAAATAAAGCACAATTTTACAGTGTTAAACAAGATTGAAATGATTTCACAAACTTCACTTTCACCGAGAATCTTCGTCTGACGGGCCATCCTCATATGGATCAAAGTGCAAGTCATCAAGGTAATCTTCATAGCCATCATCGTTAGAGTCATTATTATCTTCCTCTCAAATATCCATATGAGGATGTGTAGAGAATTGTTATCGAGATTATGAAAGCAATTATGATTTGAGTGATTGAAAAGTAAGAACATGAAGAGTAAATATTAATCAGATCTTATATTGATAAAGACTGATTACAAGACTTAAGCAGAAAGGATATTTAAGTTCCAAAGTTATCCTCTACTTCTATCCTCAGTCCCTATTTATAGAGAACCTGAGTGTACAAAAAACATATTAAGTCTATTACAATACGCTTCGCATAAAACTGACTTAGTAAAATAACTAAAAATGCGAAACTAAACAAACACACAATTCGAATTTTACAATTTAACCTCTACAATCTCCCCCTTTGTAAACAATCGAAGCTATTCAGTCCTTAAGCCTTTGAATAGCCGAGTGAATTGTCTTTCGCACTTCTCCATACCAGGTAATCACCTTCTTGAGCTCCTTCTTGTCTTCTTCATTATTCTTCTTGCAATTGTTCATACGAACAATAAAGTGCATATATTGCGAAGAAGTATATCGTTCAACCTCTGAGACCTTAAACAAAAATTTCTTGGGCTTTCCCTTCGTATCTTTTCCCGAAAACACCATGCCAAAAGGTTTCAGGCATATTTCCCCAACAACATAATTTGATAATGCTGATTGGGTTAAGGTTTCTTCCCAAGGGACGTTCACTTCCCTTTTCAAAGTAGTTGCCAATTCTACATCAGTTAGAGCCAAACAATCGAAGTAATTGACGATATACGTCTTGACATGTGCGAACCCGATCTTAAACACTTCAGTCTCAGATCCTTTGAGCTTATTCTCTTCCATATGTTTCAAAATGAGAGCCACTTGAATCAAATCATTGCAGTTCATCAGAGGAAAGTCAGCTATTGTGAAGTCATACTGATTGTTATCAGCTTGAATAACAAAGTAACGAAAATTCTGAAGCATGTCTTCAAACTTTGTATCTTTCTTGACCATTAACACCTTTTTGATCTTCATTAAAGACCATAATTCATCTGGATTCTTCCCCAATACAACATGAAATCTGATTTTCATGTGTATGTAGTCATCAGGATTATCAAACTTCTCACTAATCTTGAATTGAGCTGTAATGAAGAGCATTTCATTAATCGGAAAATCTAACTGAGAATTGTCTGAATTTGCAAAATCATAACTTCTCTTTGGCTTCTTCCCGAATTCATACATTTCCCTTCCTACAATTTTTGACTCTATAGTTTCATAAGAGTATAGCTTCGCAGGATCTCCTTTGTTCATTGTAGGAGGATCACTTGCCCTTTGCCTCATAATACTTTGGACTTGTCGCATTCTTTCCAACTCAGCCTCTACTTCAGCTTTCTTCTCCTCCTTCGATTTTTAGTACAAAATTCCTTTTCCTCTTCCCACAATATCAGATTGAGGTTTTGTACTCGAACTTCCTTCTTTTGTCCCAATCGATATTCCTTTGGCAATTGGTCTTATGGTTATTGTTGTTGAGGAAATTAGCATCGTAAATATTGGAAGAGTAGATTTGAGCTGAGTAGATATTACTTTTCCCACTGTCTTCGCATCATCCTCTTTACTTAAAATTTTCTCTCCCCCTTGCACCCTTGTGAAAGCAGGTGGGGCACTCGTTGGTAATAAAGAGGAGAAGTTCGCAATCGGAGCCAGTGCCTTCTGAATTGAATGTTCCAAAGTATTTACTTTGAGAGTCAAGAATTCAGGAGTAAGAATAGACGAAGATGAAGATTGCGAAATCAATGCCTTCAAATCAGTCACCATTTGAATCAACTGATCAAACTTTGCCATTTCTTCTTTATGATTCGCATCAATGATAGGAGCAACAATAATTTTGTTGACGTCTGAGACAATGGCATCAACCCTCTTCTGAACTTCAATCTGTTGAGAATGAATATCTTGAAGCTCCTTCGCAAGTTCGATCTTTAACTCTTCAAGCTTGAAGTTTATATCTGATGGGTCTTATACAAACAATCCTATGTGTGCATGCAACCCTAGTATTGGATCTATGTTTTCACTATTAGTTATACAACTTTATGAACACAAAAAGAAACCTGGCATGCTACTATAATTTTCGAAATTCATATATAAAGCTAGAATACATACCTTTTGTTGTTATATAGCAATAACAACTAGTTCCTTGAATTTCCTTACTTCTTGAAAGCAAGTACCATGTGACATCCCCAAAATCACGGCCAGAAAAGACCGGTTTGTTTATGCTTTGTTTAAAAATCAGAGTAACATTTTAAATAAAAGTGTTGCGGAATTTGTCCCAAAACAATAATATGATAAAGATTTATCAAAAGCATTTCCATAGAAATGTATTTCATTAAAAGACTCGGGATGTCATGTTCGTACAGATCAAAAGCATAAACAGTACAATACAAGCCTTACTACATTATTTCATATCTACAGGCCTATATCTGTAATCCCTCGTCCAAACATCATATATATGCTCAAGCGCCACTACCTGTAATACATAAAACTGAGTGGGTCAGGCTTGGGAGCCTGGTGAGCACATAGGGTTTTCAACCCACAATAAATAGTTTATTAATTTCATCAATCAACAATAACCCGATTACCCGTTCCCGTTATCCTCACTTTACGTCCCTAAACACCTATCATAAGGGACCTAGCCTAAGGATCATCATCGGGACGGACACTGCTACTAAGGGGATTCCTCAGCAATAAATGTCCTAATAGGCAACCATGTGGGGGATGGAGTACATCTGGTGAGCACACAGTTCAAATAAACACATAGTTCAAATAAACACCTACAGGTTGCGAGCCTGCTAGTGTTCCACTGGACTGTCTAGAATAGTCCGTGGTCGTCATCTATACTCCGCTAGATGACTGGATCATCAATAACATCTATAACGAGGCCTCTCATTATTTTATTTTGTCACACAACAACTATTACATCTACCCATGTTTTACCCAACACATTTTGTAGATATAAAATACATATACAGTTTAAATCTTTGAAAACATGTATAAAACGTTCATCCAGCATAGATAGCAAGTATTCAGATAATATGCACAAATAGCACGTAATTTATATTAAATACTTCATATCTATGTGTAAGTTGAAAGTAAATATGCACTCACCTGAAAAGGTGGTGATTCCGAACTCAGACAGCGCTTCGCTTCTTAAAAAGAATTTTCTTCGACGAAACCTAGTATTATTACCACTAGAGTTTAGTTTATTATTCGTCGAGACTAATTAATAGTCTAGCTATTATTATTATTATTATATAAGCGTCAAAAAAATACTTATATAACCCATAATAATAGCCCAAGTATTTATTATAAGTTCCTAATAACGTACTATAATTAAATAAAAGCTATATTAAAAATAGCGTAGGCGTAGCTCACTTACAGCGGGTTTTATAGAAAACCGGGCTTTGCTTGGAGCAGCGTTCCCGAGCCGAAAAGCTCTTCTTCTCGGAGCCTTCGAGCACTCCGGGGCTTCCGCCTCGTGCTAGGAGGTTCCCTAGGCTTTTCGGGGGATTTGGGGCTAGAGAGAGGTTCTAGAGAGAGAGAGAGAGTAAAGAGAAGAAAGAATGGGAAAGGTGTGAAGAAAATGAGGGTGGGAGAGGTGGTATTTATAGGGTGAAATGTGGCTGAACTTGGTGCCACATGTCACCATCTGGTGGCAAGCCTTGGGGAGAAAGCAATGGCCAAGATTGTGCCACATCACCCATTTTCGCACAGCACACTTCCGACTTCTAAAATCCGTAACTTTCACATACGACCTCCGTTTTTGACGTTCTTTATATCCACGCGTAGGTAATAATAAGATCTACAACTTTCATTTTGACACCGTCAGCTAATTCTCGACCGATCTTAAATTTAACAGTACAAGGAGATTATACTGTTAAACGTCTGCGTAAAATTAATAACTTCTACATACGGACTCTGTTTTTGTCTGTATTTTTACCGTTGATTTCCTATTAATGAGATCTTCAACTCTCATTTACGTTGCGTAAGCCAAAAACCGCTCGAACTAAAATTCGAGTTTCAGGCCGTGCACTGCTAAGCCGAATCTTAGAAAAATCATAACTTCTTCATACGAAGTCAGATTTGGGCGTTCTTTTTATCGATGTT